CTGAGTTATTTCACTCAGCATAATGCTCTCCAGTCCCTCCTAAGTTAGGTAATAATTTACAAAGTTATTGCTCCTGAGTGCTGCATATTCTATTGTTTGAATGTACCATAACTTCTCAATCCATTCATCTGTGGTTGGATATTTTGTCTGTTCTTGGGCATCCACAAGAAAAAGACTAATAACCCAATTACAAAATAGGTAAAAGACATGGAAAGAATTTTCACAGAGGAATATATTTGAACGACAAACAGACACATGAAGAAATGCTCCAAATCACTGGCAATAATAGAGATGCAAATCAATGAGGTACCATCTCACTCCAATAAGAGTGGCAAAGTTTAACAGGGCAGCAAGTAATAGATGTTGGAGAGGATGTGGCGAGAAAGGAACTCTTATACATTGTTGATGAGATTGTAAAATGATGCAACCATTCTGGAAGGCAGTTTAATGCTTCCTCAAAAAGCTAAACATAGAAATACTATATGACCCAGCTATTTCACTACTTGAAATATACCCTGATAATATGAGAACTGAGGCACAAACTGAAATGTGTACACAATGTTCAATTCTCTTTCTATCATCCTTCGTCATTGTCTACCTCTCTGACGTATAGCACGCAATTGTGAAGAAGACTATGGCTTGGATCAGGTTCACCTTAGTCTCCAGCCTGATGTCATTGCTCTTCAGTACTCTGGAGAGGTCTCTGATAGCTGACTTTCCCAGTGCAATTTATCTCTTGATTTCCTGGCTGCTGGTACAAAGAGTATTGATTGTAGAGCCAAAAACTGTTAACTATCTCAATCTCTTCACCATCCATACTGATGCCTCCAATTGGCCCAATCATGAAAATCTTTGTTTTCTTGATGTTGAGCTTCAATCCATATCAAAGGCTGCAGTCCTTGACCTTCTGCAGCAAGTGCTTTAGATCCTTCTCAGTTTCAGCAAGCAGTGTTGTGTCATCTGCATAATGCAGATGGTTGATGAGTCTTCCTTCAATCCTGATGCCGCATTCCTCCTCATAGAGGCCAGCCTCCTGAATGATCTATTCTGCACATAGATTGAAAAGGTATGGAGACAGAATACATCCCTGGTGGATACCCTTTCCGATTTTAAACCATGCAGTGTCTCCTTGCTCTGTTCTAATGACTGCCTCCTGGTTGAAGTATAGGTTTCACATAAGCACAATCAAAAGTTCTGGATTCCCATTCTTCTCAGAGTCAGGCAAGCTTTGTTGTGATCTACACAGACAAAAGCCTTTCCATAGTTAGGGGAGCTCTGGTGGCCTAGTGGCAAGGAGCTGCAACTACAATCCCAGAGGCGCACGGTTCGAATCCACCAGATGCTCTGTCGGGGAAGGAGGGACAATCTCCTTCTGTACCAGTCAGATCTGATTTGACGGTACACTCACACACACACACACACAAATAATAAAGTAAAAAAAAAAAGGCCTTTGCATAGTCAATGAAATACAGATAGGCATTCCTCTGATACTCTCTGCTTTCTGCCAAGATCCATCCAGCATTAGCTATAATATCCCTAGTACCACAACCTCTTCTAAATCCAGCCTGCACATCTGACAGTTCTCTGTTGACATATTGCTCCAGTCACTTTTGGATAATTTTCAGCAGCACTCTGTTAGATCACCTTTCTTTGGAATGGGAACAAATATTGATCTCTTCCAGTCAGTTTGGAGCTTATCTATTAAGTAAAGCCATTTTCTTTTAAATAATTTATAACTGCATTCGTTTTAGAATTTTTTTAAAATAAATGTAGTAGGAATTTAAAGGAAGCCATTTTGACTAAACACAACAAAAAGACCATTATGAATTTTCCATATAAAATAGGTTTTCATCGAAGGGATTTGCTTAAACTAGGGTAATTGGGGTATATGTATAGCATTCCATAGTAATTCAAATCTCAAAGTGTTTGATTAAAGGTACAGTAGAAGTTGTGACCTTATCTGTTCTTTGGGACTGAGATGAATCCTTCTAGCTAATAGGCTTCTGAAGGTTCATAGCTCTCAGCCCTTTGTTGAGTGTTTGTAGTCCATGTTAACCCATCATTGGGAAATAAATGTGTCTCTTTTGAGACAGTAATGGTCTTACCTTGCTCTTCATCCTCACTTTCCTCAAGAAAATATTTTCAATTTGGGTACAACTGAGTTCAAAAGGTCTGAAATAAGTCACCTCAACTCATTGCCAGCAAGTCAGAACTGGACTGATACTTATCCCTCCATTGCATTTCTGAGGCTATAAATCGCACAGGAAGAGATCGCCCATTTTTCTCCCATGGTACAACTAGTGGATATGACCTTTGGATTGGCAGCACAACCCAGTACAGAAGAGACCACCAGAGCTCCCCAAAATAAATTTAAAAGTGATAGCACTGTTTCCAAAAGAGGCGTTGGCAACCACGGGAGATGAATTAGCTTTTTAGAGCAAAGCAACCCGATCCTGCTGAACCAACCAGAAGTTAATGTGATGGAGATGTTCTGCACATTCCTCTGTTTGGACAGGGAATTCTTTTAGGGAAATATAATCTGTTGATCACAGACCTCAACCTTTGAGAATTTTTACTCAGCCTGCCAGTTTTAAGATGGCAATCTGCTTCTGAGAAGACAAACGTGTCTTCACTTCCTCCTGGGGACTCAAGAAAACTCATTGCCACTAAGTCAGAACAGACTCATAGCTGATCTTCCAGTGAGTTTTCAGAAACTGTCATTTCTTGAAAGGAGATTGCCCATCCTTTCTTGAAGCAGCTGGTGGATTTGAACTGCCTGTCTCTGGGTTGGCAATACAACTCTTTAGCCACAAAGGCATTAGAGCTCCCTACCGTTAAGTACTGTCCAGTTGGAATTAACTCCTAACTGACCCTCCTGTGGGTTTTTAGAAGCTGTAAATCCTGGGGAGAAGACTGCCCATCCTTCTCCCGCAGAGCAGCAGGTAGGTGCAAGCCATTTGTCCTCAGGATTACAGCACAGCTTCTCACCACTAAACCACCAAAACTCTATACATGATGACTAGCACCCTTAAAAAGAAGCCCGGTAGCAAAGCCAGGGATTTCCTGGTTTAGTGGGAGACAATACTGACAGACAGAATGACCGATGCGTAGGGAACAAACATCTTCGTTCTTTTTTCCAGGTGCACTACTCTCTAGACTGTGTTTATTAGTGATCTGCTTACTTTGTTGAATTTTCTTCTTGAACTGGAATTGTTTGCATGTCAAAGTACAACATGGACAGACCAACATTGTCAGTCTCTTCTCTTCTTGGGATGCAAGCTTCCTGTCTTTCTCTAAAGTCATGGTGCACATGTCCTTCCCTGGTAAGACCTTTCTTAGCCTTGTCCCTACCAATATGAACCACACTTTCCCCCCTGCACCCTGATAAATGCATCAAGCAAAAATTCACTGGCATCAAATGAATTCCAACTCATGACAACCCTCCAATGGGTTTAACGCTATAACCTTTACAGAAGGAAACTGCCTCATCTCTCTCCCAAAGAGCAGAGGGTAGATTTGAACCACCATGCAGTCAGTTCTCTCTCTCAATACTGGAGTTGTCTCATAGCTGATTCTCCTGTGGGTTTTGGGGGTCTGTAAATTGTTTGAGAGGGGATTGCTCATCGTTCTCTTAAAGAGTCATGTTGGGGTCACCTAAGACAGGATTCAAACACAAAGCTTATTGCTGTGGAGTTGGAACAAACCCATACCTGAGCCTCTGTTGTCGTTCTAAGACTGTAAATCACACAGGAGGAGACTGCCCATCTTCCTCCAGTGGAGATTTGGTGGCTTTGAACCACCAGAGAGGTTCCACCTTTAGGTTAGTGTGCAAATCCCCAAGCCTCAGTTTCTCCCTCTGTAGAGTGGAGATCAAGTTCTACAGGGATGATGAGAGAAAAATATACTATGTGGCAGATACCGAACACACTACTTAATATATGCTATTTAGGTGTCATCTGTTGTTATTGTTGTTGTTATGCTGAGTCAGAACTGGCTGATAGCTGACCCTCTAGAAAGTTTTCAGGGGCAGTAAATCGCACAGGAGGAATTGCCCATCCCTAAGTTGGTGGTTTTGATCTGCATGCCTTTGGCATTGCAGTGTGGCTTCTCACCACTAGTCCAAATCGTAGTGCCCCTATATTCACCAGATGGGAGCATTGCCTGGCCCCATTCTCACAACCGTCCTGTGTGGGAGCCGGGTACTGCAGCCACCGTGGTTTTGGAGGCTCTTCTTTTACATTGATTCTTTAGGATGCAGTGCTGTTCTTCGCTATCATGTCCACATAGAATCCTGTAAGAAACACTCAAAAGAAAAGGTGTGGAGATGACATTTCCTGGTGTCACTGTAGCTCTAATTTGGCTTTAAATCATCAGATACTCAAAAGGAACTCACTGGCAGAAAAGAGTTTGCTCCTTTTAATTCACCCCAGAATCCTGGCACAAAGTAAAATGAGAAATACTTTAAATAATAAATAAACAAAAGTTATAGCACTATTTCATGCATGCCATAAAGGGGTCTTGCAGTAGGAAGGCATGGCAGAAAGTAGTAGGAGTTGGAACATATGGCTAAAGAAGAACAGTATTTTCTAATGGCTTGGATTTGAGAATCTTCCCACTATGTTGAGGTCAGCGTTAACGTAAAGGATGGACAGAATACAGCAAGTGAGAAAATCAACCTAAAGTTGCTCTCTTACCCAATGGTAAGAAGTTGTGTTGTCAACCCAAAGGTAAACAGTTCAAATCTGCCAGCTGCTCCATGACAAAAAGATGGACAATCTCCTCTCATGCAATTTACAGCCTCTGAGAACCCACTGGAGGGTTAGCTACAGGGCCATTCTGACTCATTAGCAATGAACTTTGGGGTATTTTTTTAGCACCAAACAGGAGATATATCCAGGTTTCTCTTTACTAGCACTGCTATCATATTTAACATGGTAATCAGATTTATTGATGCTTGTACATTATATTAACAGACAAAATGTATCATTTCAGGATTTTATTCAAACCACCTCTGAAGTTTGGATCACACTTTGAGAGTGCTTGAGTTTGACTATGTTTGTTCATATTCTTTCATATGTCCGAGTGCAGATAACATTGTTCACGGCACTTTCCTAAAAAGAAAACAGAAGGATGAGTTATGAGTTTACTGTTAGAAAAATGGACATTTAGAAAAATGCAAAGTACATATTGTTACATTTCTTTAGATAAATCAGTTTCTAAATCTCAGTTTCCTCAACTGATACAAAGGCTAACAAGTTCTACCTCACAGGATTACTAGATTTTTGCTGGTTTTGTGTGCTGCTAAATCAGAATTTACTCCTAGCTGACCCTCCAGAAAGTTGTAAATCACATGCCTATCTTTCTCCCATGGAGCAGCTAGTGGATTTAAATCATGTGCCTTTGGGTTGACTGCACAGCTCCTTACCAGTAGAGGCCAGGAGATTCATCCTACCAAATAAAGCCCACTGCCCATGAGTCCATTCTGACCTACAGCTCCCTCTGTTCTGGCTCAAATTTTTTTCCTATTGATTAGCAGCCCCACACATTACACACACTGTGCCACCAAGGCTCCCTACAGGTGCTACAAGAAGTAAGGAAATATTCAGAAGCTACTCACTCACCACTATCATTTTCCCATCCACTAACTTTCTTGTTATGGTCGTTTCCTTACCGTTCCAGTCCTGAACCTGTACCAAGGAGTCATTATCTAAGGTTACTGTACTCTGTAAGACATAAAAATCAAACAAACCAAAAAATTCACTAAATTCAGCTCAGATTGTCACATTTAAGTACTACAATGTTAGGTGTTGTTATTTCGGTGTTGTTGGTGGTTTTCTTTTTTGTTTGTTTAGTTTTCTTAAATTCAGACTCATAGTAAGTCTATGGGACAGAGAAGAATAGGGTTCTCTCAGATGTAATTTATGGGAACAGTTCACCAAATTGTTCTGTCGAGAAGCTTCTGGTGAGTTTTGTTAGCACTTGAGTTCTTCAACCATTATACCACCAGGATTCCTTCAGTTCTCAAAATCTGCATCAGAATTATTGCCAGCAATGTAATTTCTGAAAATTCCTGCCCCAAGCATCAAAGCCCTTGAAGACTAAACCTAGACACACACACAGTCTCTCTCTCTTTCATAAGTTGGTATTTTTCAAGAGTTTCAAGAAATTTACTTGTAAACTAAAATCTGAGATCCTTAAACAAATTTTAGATAAAAGTGTATCTAATAAAAGACTTTGGAAGAACATTCTTCTAAGTCATACAGCACTCTTCTGTCAATTTGCTGTACTGAAGTAATCTGGGTTTGCTGTGATGGTGAACCTTGTGCCACTGGGGTCTCAAATGCCATAACAGTTACCCACAGTGGACAGTGTTTGGTGGAGCTCCCCATTTAAGACAGGTTTGGAAGCGAAAATGGCATCCAATTCCTAACTACATGTCTCTGAAAACTGTATGAACTTGGGAAAATGATGATAGTTATAGAAAGGCTTCAGGTCTTTTGTTCATAGGGTTGCTATGAGTCGTGCTTGACTCGACGGCAATCAACAACAGCAATAAAAACTAGATATGCTTGCTGTAATAGTATGTTTTCTCATTTCAAATTCTTTTGAACTAATATTCTGATAAAATCTGCTGCAAGATTATAGACCTCACCTTGGTTTTATGGCCTTCTGGAGTGGTTTCCTCAAACTCTTCTGCCAGCTTAAAGGAGATTTCATTATTTTTAAAGATGCTTATAGTTTTTATAGTGATCGCATCTCCATTTGTACTGATGATCACGGTGGGTTTTGCCAGACACCCCAGTTTCCTGCTTGCTTTTCCTATTCCTGGAAATCACATAAAAGGCACACAATTGTTCAATCTTCTGTTGGCATAAAGAATTTCAAAGAATTATATAATTCGTTTGTAACTTGGAGGTTTGTAAGTTAATGTTATTTGTTCACTCAATTTTGCATGAATTTAAATATTTAAAGCCAGAGTTTCCATTGCTATGGAAAATAGAATATTTTTCCCACAAGAAAAAAAAACAAAACAAAACACCCAAAAATATTGGTTTCCAGTTTGTGTCTAAAATTTGTCATCTATTTCTAGTCCAGCCACTAGTTATCATTTAGCCGTGGATTTTTTTCAAAACTAAATGAAAATTATGAACCATTTTATTTTTAGGGAAATAATATTCACACACAGACAAAAATAGCTTGGCATTAATTTTTCCATATATTTCTCTCTTTATTAACATCCTTATGTGTACATA